TATTTCATGTTGCAAACACTGAAACCATATGGTTGTTCAGTGTTTGGTAATAACTTGCTCCTTTTAATTTCTCTTCAGTTTGCTATTGGACAATGACTCTTGATGCTGTGTTTTTCCTTCAGTTATTTTGCATCTGCTTCCTAGCTTTTCTGCTTCACTTTTAACAATTCTAGTGGGTGTAACTGAGAATTCTAAATATGTCTTGAAGTTATTTTGTGCCATAATGAACAGTTCCTGTTATGATCTGTTATGTTATGCTTATCTATGATATTTTATAAAAGTCTAAGAAAACTAGAGTAAAAGGTAATGTGCAAGTAAGTTGCGTGGAGTAACTGAAATATCCGTGAACATCTGAACAGCTGATTTTTATTCTCCCTCTCCCACAGTACTCATCAATGGCAGTCAGGAAAATTTTTCTTCTTTTCTTCATCGCGGGATTGTTTACTCAGAACAGTGTCAATGGTCACTTGCAGTCTGTGACTTTGAAAGTGTCCTAGCCTTGAACAGGTGATTAGACTTGAGAATTTTAATATATGTGGTTTATATTCTGATTACCTGGGGGCATAAAAGTGCTAATAAAGAAAAGTAGAATCAGAATTGTTAATTCAGCAAATGGACTGTAATTAAACCACATAAAACCATGTCTTATTTTAGTGTCTTTTGCCTCATTTACTATAGTCTTGGTATAATAAAAATAGTTATTAATGTATTTAAAAATTAAATTTTATTTTGCCTTACATGGCAATTTGGCAAATAAATTTTTCAGGTTTGGCAGACAAAAGATGAATGTGTAATCCTAATTAAAGTTGACTGCTCATGCCACAATAATTTAATTAGTCTTTTGTGAGGGAATCTGTCCACGATGCATGTAAAATGTCAAACTATTTTTTTTTCCCCAAGAAAACACCACAGTGTTTTATTTAGCAAAAGCCCGTAAGTGGTGTTGTTGAAATTAAAAAAAAAATGCTGTTTGTAGTCCTTGATAGTTGCTGACTGAAGCTGATGTGGTTTCTCTGAACTGCATTTCTTCTACCACTTAAATACTTCACAAACAGATTATATCTGTAGCAGCTCTGCCGCGCAAACAGTCTTATGATGTGCAACAAGCCCCCCATACCAGCTTAGCCGCATTAATTACCTTACTCTAAATATATTGAGCTCTTGTTCAGCCTTGGGCAACCTCAACAGACCCATCTTGAGCAAAGGCTGTCATTCCAATCTGTGGCAGGCCTAAAGACCCCTGAGCTCTTCCTTTGTCTTGGCTCTGCTATAGGAAGTCTTTGAACTTTACCTGGAACCAGGCTGTAAAAGTGGGCTGCACGAGATATTGAAGTTCTTGGAAACCAGGTCTCGCTAGCAAGGTGAAATGACAGAAAATAAGGGAGAACGCTAGGTGGAAAATATGTAAACTTTGTCAGTCTTTTAAAACTACAATGTGTTTTAGTGTTGAAGAATTCAGTATTTCTCACTGTATTCAGTATATACAAAACTGCTGGCTTACCTCTATTTCTAGTCCAGCTTCTACAACACAGAGTTGTCGTCATTTCTTCACAATTCACATGTGGAGTGCTGTTTATGGTGATCAGAGAGCCTCTGGTGTGCAGCCAAACATCAGAAGATACTGAAATTTCGTTTTTTAATGAGATGGCTCCTCTGCTGGCAATTACAATTCTTTCGCTGAGTGTGATCACAAAATAGATGTGTGGTAAATGTCATAAAAATAGATGAAGACTGTATAAGTTGTGGTTAATACAATGACATATTTCATGCAATAACAAAAGGGAAAATAATTCTGTTTTTAGCTCTGTCATCTTTGCTTACCTAAATATTGGTTTGATACTGCTGTTGCATCTCGATCGATATTATGAGGCTATTCAGCAGTTTACTAAAGTCATTGAAATTGATCCTCTCAATGTTCAAGCCTATGTATGCAGAGCGCAAGCATATCACAAGGTAACACATTCTTTTTGCTTTTGTTTACCACTTAATATAGCTTTATTTATATTTATGGTGGTTGTGAGTATTTTAATACTTATTCCTTGGTGTTATACAAATGTTAGAACCTGCTTATAGATATATGTTTCAAGTAGTCCTTGTCACAATACCAGAATTACATACATTGCAATTGTAAAATATTCCTTGGTGTTATACAAATGTTAGAACCTCCTTATAGCTATATGTTTCAAATAGTCCTTGTCACAACACCAGAATTGCATATATTGCAATTGTAAAATGTTGTTGGCATGTAATGCAATGACACAAAATATTTCAAGTATCATTTTATCTTTTCTATATCAGTGTACATCTAATTTAATACATTTAAAAAATACATTAAAATATCTTTTGAAAATATGTAGTTTTAAAATCTGAACCCCCCACATTTTGAAATACAGTGTTTTCTAAACACAATTTTCTTGAGAATGCTTATTTTTCAGGAAACTCAAATTCTCTTCCCCACAAATGTGAATGAAAATATTTTCAATATTCTAATTCACTGTGAAACAGAATGTATTCTCCTTCTACATGGGATTTTAGAATAGTTTCTGCTGGCATTTTTGGGACCTTCTCAGGAGTACAAGGAACGGAGGATTCAATGTGACCTAATTTCTGTAGATTTCACTGGCAGAATTCAAACAACTGTTGCGTCCCACAGCGCTTAGTTCAATGTGACCTAATTCCTGTAGATTTCACTGGCAGAATTCAAACTGTTGCGTCCCATAGTGCTTAGTTTGTTTTCAAAACATTTTGATAAATTGCTTACACTGTTCATTTTCTGCCACAACTAAAGGAAATGGCTTTTAACTTGGAGCCCATCTAAGTGGATTGATGATATTCTTTTTTTTGAAACTGTCTGTAAGAAGTTGTGCCTGGTAGTTTATATTGGAGGTCATCTACTAATGCTCAGGTTGCTTTTGTAGGGGTTTTTTTGTTATTTTTTGGGGGGGATTTTTTTGGCTTTTTTTTTTTTTTTTAATTTCAGTATAAAGCAGTAAAATAAAGCTCAGTACATGCATTCCATCAATGCTCTTCTTTAATGAGAGTTTGAGTTAGCAGCTATCCCAGCTGGATGAATCACTCCTTGGGGTCTTCTGTAATAATCTCCTTTCTCCTCAGCATCTGAAGCACACTGAATGGGACCCACATGCACAGACACTTGAGAAATAAACGCAAATTCATTACAGTAATGAAGACTCATCAGGACATACGTGCACGTGGATCTCATGACCTAATCTCCTTTCCAATAATCCAGACTCTTGGGATTTTGGGAAAGTAAAGAAACTGTCTGGAGTTTGGATCTGGCCTCTGGGAGAGTATGAAAATATGCAGGGTCAATGTTTCAGACCTTTATTAAAAACATGTTGAGCTCCTTTACAGAGGGCATATGTGCCTTCTGAGATGTTACTGTGTGGGTATTACATCCTGAAGAACCACATTTACAGAAATAGTAACTGTGTCTCCAAATTGTGTTCATATTAGCAATTAAATTGCTATTTTTTCTTTATAAAATACAGATTTGTAATTTACCAAATGCTGTGAAGGATATAAACCGAGCCATTCATCTTTATCCCAATAAATCACAACTTTGCATATTAAGGTAGGAAAGTGATTAGTTGAGAACTTCACAGATATCTCACTTATTAAAAAAAATCATTTTGGAATGCTGTTGGTAGATACCTTTGTATTCTTTGAAACCTGCTCTGAATGGGTCTAAAAAAATGTAGTATTTTCATAGCATTTTCAAACCTGAAGAATTTGTCTGCATAGTGTCACACAATTATTGTAATCATTACCTTGGAGGGAGGAACTTTCATATAACAGATTCTGCTCTTTGTGGTACATATAGTTTCTGGGGAGAAGGAAGTAAACAGATGCCATGACAAAAAAGCAAGCCTGAACTTTAAAAACATTAATAATTTTAAATGTTTTCCCTAAGTGGAAGGATCTTTCACTGAAGGATTGAGTCCAGGCCAATTTAGATTTGAACTATTCTTCTTCCCCATCTTCAGCCCAGTGAGAAGTAGTAGTGACCTTTACCAAGATTAAAATACTAGATAAAGCTGTTTCCTCCCCTGAAAAGCCACAAGAACTAAGGAGGAAATGCTAGGATGTTACTCCTCAGACATACTAGGAGAATCAGTTACTATGTTCCGGTCAATAATACCCTATTTTCCCAGTTTTAAGACTGGGTTTACTCAGTTTTTCTCCGAGTGTGGTTTGGCTTGCATGACCTCTTATACTGATGCCGATATCTGAAGAGGCAAAAAATTGTCCTTGAAAAAAGAATGTATTTATCAGCTATCAGTCTATGGTGGATTTTAGGAACAGTACTAACATTGTTGTTGCAGTTCTAGAGATTGTAAGGATTACTGTCTGTGAAATCCAAAGCAAATGTGTTTTTGTAACTCCTACAAACTGAAGAGAGGTAAACATTTAATTTATTGGTACAGTGATGTGAGAGAGAAAATTAAAAATTCAACAGATATTTCTGATGAAAAAGAGAAAAAATATCAGATGTTTTTATTTGAAGGCATTATTTTTCCTTTTCCTCTTTTTATATGAATGAAAACATATTTCAGTAGTATTTGCACTGTGAAAGAAATGCCTGGAAATAGTTTTACTAATTACATCCAACAAATATTTCAATATAGGGGGCAGTATTTAATGGAGTTGAAGAAATATGAGCTGGCAAGTTTATGTATTCACCAACTTGCAGAAATGGATGAAGGTAATTTCCATCAATTTTCCTAGATAGTTGTGAACCATGGCAACAGTCTGTAACGAAGGAATTGTTCAAAAAAATTAAGTTGAAGCATGCAAATAGGTTAGTTACCATGAATCAGCTAAAATATAGGAACTTACTATCTAGAGTATTTTGTTTGCATGTCTGAAGCCTTTAAAGGCAATAATGTACAACATTATTGCCTGTACTATCATCTGTGTTTTCAGAATTTCCTTTATCTTTTGAGATCTGATGGGGTTTTATTTCTACCTTTCAATATGGGTAATTTCAGCTTTAAAGAGTATTGAGTAAAGTTTCTGTTCTGTACTTATACACAGTCTTTCCTAACAAAATATCAAATAGCTTTAGAACTGAACCTTCCCAATGTGTCCAAGTAGTAAAAAAGTTGCAGTATAGTAGTTCCTTGTTAGGTGCTGGGCATAAAATGGCAGTGTTCAGTGCATCCTCAAGCTCTTGGTGAATCCATATGAATAGCCATACTGTATGAGATTAATTTCCTGTCTCTGGTAGTGACTAAGAGTGGCTACACTGGGCACAAGAATATAAAAACAAAGCAGGCATATGGTGACACTTCCGCAGAGTAAAGCCTTCTTAGATGTCAGGAGGGGAAGGTAAATATTTGCAGATGTTTTGCAATCAAACCACACTCATTGATAAATAACTGTTCAACTTTAGACTTTTGTAGGAATTTAGTTGACATTCATATTTTTATGAGTGTTAAAACAAGCTTTGATACTCCAAATATTTTAATAGCATTTTAAAGATCGCATATAGTTTAAATGTCTTTTATACTGGAAAGTATAAATTGTTTTTCCATGGTGGTTTTCTTCCAGAGTCCTTTACGTCTCAGCCTGTTCAGCAAGCACTCATTCAGTCACTTCGTCAAAATCACAGTAAGGCCATAGAGTGCTTATGTGAAGCTATTGCAACTCAACCTGAGCCTTCAATGTTTGTTTTTTTAGGAAAAATACAAATGAAAGCCAAGAAAACTAAGGTTAGAAAGGTTTACATTATATATATGGCAAGCAAGGCAATGTTTTTCTTTCTGTATTCTTTTAATATTTATTAAATGTGCTACTATATAAATACCCTCATAGTACCTCATTGTTTAAATTATACGAAGACCTGAGTAAAAATTTTCAACAGCACTTACAGTTCAGCATAAACTAGGCAATGTTAGTTTTAAAACATTTAAGATGCTTGATTAAAAGATACAGTTATGTAGATTGAGGTCCATTATATGTCATAATTTTGCTTCTTTCAAAATAAAATAATATAGATGTCTAGCATTTCTTGTCTAATAAAATGCAGTTCAAAAGTTTAATTCATGTATGTGAATGGAATATATAATTTATAGCTACAGATCTTTTCTCAACTTAATGAATATTCTTATGGCATAGGGCTTAACCAATATTGTAACTCTTCTGAGTCCTGCAGTTGGCCAATATTTGAGGCCCGAAGAACTGTTGAAATTGGCAGTATCTTTTTGTACAGTCCTATTTGTTTATACAAAATGTACAGAGTCCTTTTTCCCTAAACACAATAGCAGCAAGCAACAGGTAGATTCATAAAACCTTGAATCTACCTGTCTATTGAGTTCTGTGTCTGAAATGCTGCCGTTCTGTTTCTTTTTAGCCTCATGTTTGCAGGTGGTTCTTAAGTGAAAAAGTGTGCACTTTGCAAGAATTATACTCTTGCTCCCTGGGCTTGTACCAGATAAACCCTCTTGATCTATTCAGCATTTGTTGTTAGGCTTGGGTGTTTTATTAGTCTCAAACCATAATGGGACATTACTAGTTCTGCTGTCTTTGAAAGAATGCTGAGTCAAAGATGGTGATCATTAGTATGGTCCAATTCAACCAATTTCAGTTGTCGTGGTTAAGACATGGTTAGAGTAATTCCCTGATTTCTCAGAGTGCTTCACCCAGAGGTGAGGACCTGCATTGTCATGTCTTCTGGAGAGGAATGTGACAATACTCTCAACATGGGAAAATGATCAGACTTCAGGCTATAGTGTCCTGAGAATCAGCTGTGCCTTTAGAATTGCATGGAATCAGTTCAGGTATCTACAGCTCTTTTTCCTCTTAAGAGTATTTTTGAATGTAGAAATAGAGAAAAATTATTTTGAAATAGCAGTAAGTACAGACCTATTTTGTTTAAAAATTCTACTACCTTGACAACTTAGGGAGGCAGGTGTAGTATTTGCAGACAGCCCTATGGGCACTGGTATTTCAAACTCATTTTTCTAAACAAGTACTCCATCTTGAAAGATTCACTTAAGAAAAAAATGCTGTAATTCTTTTACTCTTCTTGACATGGAAACTTTCAACTGTCGTCCCTTCATATTCTTCAAAGGTTGAGGAATGGCTTATCTTGAACTGTTCTTAATTTTTTGTGTTGTTTTTTTCTTACACTCTTCTTTTAAACCAAGGCATTATTAAGTGTGCATAAATTATTGCCCAGCTCTATGAGACACAGTAAGATTCTGAGAGGCCGTTCACTTGGGCTTCAATGTGTATACAGGATTGATCCTTTCAATATATTTCTTAATGGTTATTAAATTTAGTAAGTTGTCTATGGAATAAATAGGTTATCATTATTTACATAAAGAACCTGTAGCAAGTACTTCATTATTGACAGACTCCATCAAAAGGTAATAAATTCCCAAGGAAAAAATATATATTTTAGCATTATAAAATGCTTCCAAGGAAATAAATATAAGTAGAATTAATAAATAACTATAGTTAACTATGTACCTAAATAACAGTATAAATGGGCTGTACGTTATTTCTAGATCATGTACATTAGGTACTTCGTCATATATAAATGAAGCTGAGGAATATTTATCTTTTTTTTCTCTAATCAGTTATTAATATGAACCATTCAGAGATCAAGAGTGTATCTAACTCCAGTAACATCAAGGAACACTAGACTACTGATTTTTACCATAATATTCCAAAGAAAGACTAAGAAGGCGGCATTTAAAAATAATTTAAAATATCTAACAAATCTTGCAGATTTTCAGTTAAGTGCTCTGCAGCTGTTACGATTCTCTGCATTGCAGGATGCTGTGGAAAGCTTTAAAAAAGCAGTGAAGCTCTTGATGACCTCAGCAAAAATTCTGCCTAATACGTTTGAGGCTGCAGAAATGTATTATCTCACAGGCCTGTGTTACATGGAGCAAAAAAGTTTATTACAGGTTGGTATTAATTATATAGAATATATTAGCCTTTGACTCCACTACTTGTAAACAACTTGTAAACTGTGATAGCTGAGTGCATTATTTCAATATTTTAAACAGCCTCCACTGCCTTTAGTAATTTTCTTTTGAATTCATAACGTACATTAAACTGTCTTGCAAGTTTGTGAGTAATTTTTCAAGTGCTTTTTAAAAGTTATCATTATCGATTTTTAAAAATGTATCAATTGCTATTCTGAGGGAATAAAAAACTACATGAATTTCTCATTTGTTTATCAATGTCTTCATAGATTTTATAGACATACAACACTCATGCAGGTGTGTTGGTGGCTTAGTAAATTGGTAGTAAACTTGGGCAAAGGAATTCCTAGATTATTGTATTATGGAGTTAGTTACAATTTTTTAACTGCTTTCTATATTACATAGCACCTGTATCTGGTTCTCTTTGGCACTTATGTGTGATACTTAAGAAATAAACTGCATCGCCAAGAAAAATATATTTCTCTTCTTTCAACAAAATCAATACTTTGAACTGTATTAGAGACTTCTTTGTTGAAAACTGTTGAAAACATATCAGTGAGCTTTGTGGCAGGCCTAGTGTGAGTTCATGCAAATGTATTCTATGTTGATATTTTAATGACCGTGTTTCAGTTGTTGATTTGCTTAAAAGCTCAAGACATAAACTAGAAACATTTGAAATATCAGCATTTCACAGGGAGGAGAACAATTTCTTGCCTTGTCTCTGTCCAACCCTGTTTGTCAAAAGTAATATTCTTTTGGAAGAAGGCTGTCAAAATTTTCTGAAATACCTAATGGGATAATACATGACAATTGCAAAAGTTAACTTTCTGTGTCAGTGTGCATCTGATATTACAGTTATAGATCCTGGAAAAACGTGTGATTTTGTAAGCTAATGTACAATGTAGAGGAAAAAAAAACTATTTGGACAGATTTTAAAGGAATTGCATGCTAGCCATGTTAAGCCATTGTCTGTTAGAGTGAACAACTTCACTATTTCAGCTCTTACAGAGAGACAACCTTGTGCTTGGCTAAACTTTTGCAGTCTCACTGAAGAAATGATATTATTAAAAAGTTAGACTGTGAGGTTATTTAATCATAACCTTGAGGTTATGATTGCATTAGGCATGGTGTTAAACATTACAGAATTTTAAGTAACAGTAAATGGATGAAAGTAATAAAAACCAATGCAGGACCTTGGTGGGTTTCAACTACAAAAATAGGTCATACCTAGCTGTACAAAACAATCAATTAGCTTGTGGTTTCAGCTGAACAGACCATATTTAACTGGATTGATATGTCATTCTTTTAGGCCCATGATGCTTTTAGTATGGCTATCAGACTACATCCAAGTTACCCTGATGCTTTTTATCAGCGAGGGCTGTGTAGAATGCAGCTCAGACAAGCTAAATGCATCCGAGATTTCAATCGAGCACTTGCTCTTTGTCCATCACATTTCCAGGTAATACAAAGCCTCCTGATAGTTTGTGTGAGGCATTTTTGAATGGGTTCAATGACTGGCAGGTTTTGCATTTATTGGTGTATTACCTTGTAATCTGCCAGCAAGCACATGGCAAACATTAAATAAATTACAAGCTTTGTAAGATGTAAGTTTTTATAAACTTTTAATTTCTGTCTTCTATTTAACCCTTGTTTTATAATGCTAAACAAAGCTGTTTTTTTATGATATCATCATTCTGTCTTCATCTCTACAGGCATATATGAGTCGTGCTGCTTACTATGGGAGTGAAGGTAGATACTCCAAGGCAATTCTGAATTGCAATGAAGCGATCAAAATTCTTCCTAACAGTGAGCGAGCTTATTTTTACCGAGGAACTTTAAAGTATCAAAATAAGGTGGGACTATCTTTATTGTTGTACTTTAGAATGATGAAATAATGGTAAAAGTATTGTTGAGGAAACCAGGAGTTCCACTTGATTATTGTACTTTCCATTCCCCATTGAAGCTACTCTCTGGTTGTTCTATGTAACTGAAGATGATTGATGGGTTGGAGAAACTGCTGGGCATCTATCTAGTTATTCTTCTCTTAAGTTCCATGGAACAGATTCTTATCTAGTGATAGACAGAAGTTTCCAAACTCTGCAAAAGATAACTTCTATGTTAGGTTAAGAAAAAAATGTAAGCTAGTAAAATTAAGGATTGATTATGTACTGCAGTATATGGATGTGATGTAGGAAAACACTAAGAATGTTTGTTTTCCCAGTCTTGTCAAAAACAGAGCTTCTGAAGAAGTGCTCCCACTGCAGGAAGGACTGCAGTAAGTAATCCACAGAGGACATAGTGAAATGGTTGGATGCCTTCTAGTACTGAGGAAGACCAAAATATAAAACTATGAAATAAAATTTTACTGTAGGCTATTATTTGAGGAAGAATGTGTAGTGCCATGAACTTTGAATTACAATTTAAACATAGTGTTTTTTCATTTGCAGACATTTAAAGCTGCAGTTGAAGATCTTTCAAAAACTATTGACCTCAACAAAACCTGCATTTTGGCATATTATAACAGAGCTGTCTGTTATCATCAAACAAAGGACTTCAGAAAGGTATTGTATTAATTTTTTTTCAACTTCACATGAGCACTCAGTTGTTCCCATTAGCTAGTAAGCTGATGTTGACAGTCAAAATTTCTGATGTCTTGTGATGTCTTCCTGAATGGTTGTGCTCTTCAGGAAATTGTTTAAAAAAATGTCTTTTTGGTCTCTACTATCATATTAATGACTTTTGATATCCCTTTGAAAAGATAAGAGCTGTATCCAGAAGAAGACTACAACAAAACAGGGATTTGAACTACATCCAACCCTCATTCACAGCTCTGTATTTCGGGATGTGTTTATACTTCTGTCAATTTGCATGTGAGCCGCCTCTGAGTGTTTCTGCTTTCTCCCTTTGTTATAAAGCAAAGGAACAACAGGGCACACAGAAGCACCATGCAGCTTCAGACTGGGAATGCAATCATGTTGAATGGTCTTTCTGGTGAAGCCTATATTCTGGGACAGGGCTAGTTCCTAAGTATTTGAGCTCTGGTGTCTCAAGTCAAATCGACCTTGGCAAAGGCCATTTGTGCTTAGAGGTTAATTGGCCAAGAATGATTCAGGTGGGAAAGAAATAGGTGATTACAGCAACTGAAGGTAAAAGTTTAAGATGTGAAAATGATTGTTCCTTCATAAATAAGGAATTATGAAAGTTGTTATCACTCTCCAGAAAAGCTACTTAAAGTACAAGGGAAGTTGCAGAAAAAATTTAGTGCATTATTGACAGAAGAAATTTACTAGAGCTAACAAGAACTGGATTGTTTTCTTTAAAGCTGTTTCTAATATCTAGCTTAGCTTAGAGGTGTCAAAGAATAGAACTTAAGTGGCTAGATCAAGCAGTGTTGAAATGCTGTTCAGTTTTGATACATTTAAGAACTGAGGCTTCTTCAGTCTACCTAGTCATGCAACTGTTTACTTTTTTACAAAATTTACACCCCAATTTAGTTAATTCAACTAGTTCTTAGATTTTTTTCAATAACAATAAGTGATGTCTGAAAATTAAAAGTAACTTACTTTGACATCGATTCATGACTAATTAATCTAAAATAATTTTCTAGGTTTTTTTTTAGTAAGAGTTTATCCATAAAATTTAGCTGTAGAAGTAATTAAGAATTATTTCTAACTCTGAAATTTATATAATGTCAAAAAAGTTTTAATTGTGTCTATTTAATCTATTTTTATAGAAGGCTCCAAATGCAGTTAAATTCAATCTGTAAACAGAGAAACATTGGAATAGCCAAGCTGAACTTTTTATGTTTTTTGTAGGCTTTGAAAGATTATGGAATTCTTCTTCTGCTTGACTCGAATAAGGAAATAGCTTTTAAAGTGTTAATTAATCGTGGACTGCTGTACGTGGAACTTGATGATTATGCTAATGCATGTGAGGTACGAAATCCTTCTTTGAGTAAAGGAAATTTAGTTTTCTATTAAATGCAAGCCATTGCTGATATAAAGACCAGCTTGACAGTTCTTCTGTTCTGAAGTAGTTTGTGCTCAGTTCTCATTTGCTCAACACCTAATACCCATCTGGCTGTGAAGATGCAAATAAAAATGCAGTTTTACTTGTTTTACAGTTTTATGCTGCTGGAGTTAAACATGGGAACTGCACAAAATTTAATAAGCAAGAACCTGATTTTTCCTTCTTTTTAAATTTTGAAGTAATTTATGTTGGGTCCAAAGGAGTTACTAATTCATTGCAGCGGCCTAGGTAAATGGTGGTTCTGGTTGAGTGGGCTTGTTTTTTCCCGCTGTGCATGCATGTGTGTGTAAATGACCATTTTTGATGAAAGGGCATGAAGGGTCTGACCTCAAGATAATTTTCTTAAATGTAAGAAAGTAGCATGTGTTTCTGACACTGACTCACAGTGCAGATGACTTTCTCCTTCCTTGGGATTACACCGGGCATAGCAGTAGCAGCCTTGAAACTTAACAGTGTTCGACATTACTCTTTTGCACACGTGGGTTTTTATTTTTGAATTTTAAATAGTTTTTAAGGTTTCTAAAAGTCTTCATTTTTTTAAAAGCAGGGGTATTTATTTTCAGTATAACGGGTGCATTCATTGCTTCCATTGTGGACTAGTAACTTTAAAATGTGTTATCTTTATGTGATAGCAACAATTTCAGCATAGACATCCTAAAAATTGAGTAATATTTCTTATTTGCAAATAAAAAATGAAGAACAAATATGAATTCCATTCCAATTACAAGAAATGTCCTATTGGAAGTGCACAACAAATTATTTCTAAATTATTTAAAATAATGTAAGTAGAAAAATTGTGTTATTGGTTTCTTATTCTTCAGGGTGGAGTTGGTCATAATAGATCAGAAAAGAGGCTGAGGAGGTACAAATTGGTATGTAAAGCCAGTAGAAAGAGACTGGAGTAGAACAAGCAGGACGAGCAAAAACTTCTTTGAAGCAGCTTGTAGTGAAAACAAATTTACAAAATGGTAATTGAACAACAGACACAAAAATATAACAGATAATTTAAGAAAAACATCAGTGATTATAAACATGCTTGAGACCTGCTTCTGTATCAGTTCTGATAATACCTTATTGCAAGGAGTGTATCTGTATACTTGTACAGTACTGGTTGAATTAGGATATAATTACTTATGTACAGGTACCTACTACTTGAACTGAGTGTATTCCTGAATTGGGTACACTAGAAGAAAAAGTTATAGTTCAGTCTATATAAAGATATGAATTGCTATATAGAGGTGCCTTTTTCTGTTGATTCTGTGCAGCGCATGGTTCATTACCTGTGAGGATAACACCTTTGGTTTAAGTAAACCAAACCTGGTCCTTGGAACTTTGATCCTGCTTTTGCTCTGCTCTGTACACAGGGCAGCATATACTCCAAATTGTTCACATGAAGAATCCCATTAGCTTTGCTGGCTAGTCTTTGAACAGTGGGATGGGAACAGTGTGTCTCAGTAGTTTTTTAAAAACAGACCTATAATTTTCTGATAGCATATTCACCAAAAGAGAGGTTTTATGTTAAGAAAATGTATGCATCTGCACATAATTATTTTGCCACTTTCATAATTCCAACAGTATTAAAATCTTCCACATCTTTTTATTTTTACAGTTTGAACGAGTTAAAAATGCTTTCTAAGTTGTAATTCATTGGAAGCATCAGCTAAACCACTCCTACTAAATTCTGATCGCTCTCCCATGCAGAAGCTTAAAGTGCTTGCTTACGTCATATTTGGAATGATTGTATGATTTTAAAAGCACCTGTACAGTTTTTACAATTGAACCGCACATATCAAAACCACAAGCATTTTGAAAAATGTTCTAGATGTTAGTAAAAGGCAAAAGTCAAAAGCCCCATGAAGTCTTTCACTGGAACTTTGTGCATAGAGTCTCCCAATGCAAACATGATTTTGGTTTACTACTTTTGTCAAAGTAATAAAAGTAACCAGATAATTTTGTTACTGGAAGAATTCTATAGAAATTCCATATAGCAAAATACATTTCCAATATATATATATATATTTAATAATAGCATCTGAGGTACAGTATTTCTATTAAAAACAAACTAAAAATACCTTTCTAGAAGGTTTTGTTTCTGGAAAGGTTGCCTACAGCTTTGTAGGAAATACCATGATACCATATAACTTTGGAGACTTTATTCTCTCAAAGTCCGGGACAAGAAGTATGAAAACAGTTAAATACATCTCCAATACTTCTGAACCTATAATGCCTTTATCAGAAGTCATCTCCCTTTTTCTATAGAAGTATAAAATTGTTTAGCTAAAGCCACAGTTTTTTGAAGTGAAACAATATCAATTTGAATGGTTTAATGTCTGTTCTTTTCAGGACTTTAAAGAAGCAACATTGCTTAGTCCAGATGACAGCCAGATCTTTCAAGCTATTGGAATCTGCTGTCATAGGTAAGATAAATAAGTTTGTTTGATGGAGAGTAGAAAAATGAAATAATTCTTGACCTTTATATTCCTGTTCACCTTTTCATATTGTGTACACTGAGAACTGGGGAAGGGAAAAATGGTGAAGAGGAATGGAAAAAAGAAAATTAGATATTTTTCAGTAGCTTGTGTATAAACCATTTTAAGATGCATTTGTGATCCATCCTGCAGTCTCTAACCCCACGACTCTCTGTCAACAGGATTGGAATGAAGCCCTAATTTGTTTTTGCAACAAGTGTTGTGCTTTTAAAAAGCACTTGGCTTACAACCCTTGATGTTATTTGTTAACTAAATATATTTAATCTTTCCTCTTTTGGTAAAGAAGTCAGGTTGTGCTTCAGGTAGACACAGGTAGCTTATATTCAAACAATATCTGATCTTGCAGCATCATCTTGGTAAAATGTTTTTGTACATTGACATGTTAAAGTTTTTGCTTCATGTGTAAAGATACTTACTAGCATTCATTGACATTTCAAGTATTCAGTCCTTTGTATTCCTACTCAGTATACCTTAGTATACCATCAAGTTTTATTTAAGGATGGAGTTCCACATTTGGCTTACTCTTAGACCAGAATGGTCTATGCTTAGAACCCTGAATACCATATCTTTTTACCCTGCAAGTTTAGTAAAATTTGGATAAGCTCAAGAATTGGTATGAGAAAAAACAGACAGAAGGGTTGTATTATAAATAAGTTTTCTACGGCTGAAACATCTGTGCCTGAACAGGCTACCAAAAACATGTCTGGCCATGACATTTGGACAGCATGAATGACTCAGATAAAAGTCTCTCTGAGTACAACTGTTGAAAAGGCAAAATCTTCCCCCAGCAAAAGTTAATGAGAGTTCTGCTGTTTTCTTCCTCAAGCCAAAGAATTCAAACTGAAGTCTACAAGGTCTTACACTGACCACCTTCACTGTTATAACCATCAGGGAGCACATAGAGAAAGCAAACTTAAGGGAAAAAAAAAAGTCCTTTTTAGTCAGAATTGTACTACTTTCAATGGGCATTATGGTGTAGTATTTGCTGATCGTTCATACATTGAGAGTTTTATTTATAGAATTTTAAAACAGTAAACAATATGTCTATTTTCAGACTTCATGAGTTTGAAGAAGCTGTGAAATCATTTGACCGGGTTCTCAAACTAGATCCTGTTTCTGTGGATGCCTATGTTGGACGAGGAAATTCGTACATGGAAAATGGATATGAGGCTGGTTGTAAACAAGCACAGAAAGATTTCTTGAGAGCAATTCACCTGAATCCAAACTGTATAAAAGCCAGAATTTGCTTAGGATACAGCTTGCAGGTAACACACCAAAATCCATTGTCAATGCTGTGTTTAATCAAACAAAATAACATCAATCTTGTATGCATACATTTATATAATACATAAAATAATAGTGATAAACATAAAATAATCCATGTTCTTTAGACAAGCCTTATGGCATCTTCTTTCTTTTTAAGTAAATGGATAGACCATTATTTTCTTTTCACTTTTGTGCCCAATCTTGTTGGAGTTCTGCTCTTGAATAACAGAATATCAAGTAACATTACACTTGTTTGATTTACATATATGGTTCTCTGACAAACTAACCTCAAGAACTGGCATATTTTGCGTGTATGAGCTGTTTACTGAAGCAAAAAGCAGCCAACGTGCTGATGAATCTGTGTAAACCAAAATCTTGTATTTCCTAATTAGACAAACCACATTTAGCAAATCTGCAAAAATCCCTTGGTAAAGGCCTTATATTATAATGATCTCTGAAAAGTATTTACCTACATAGAAAATGAGCTTCTGTATTAGCAACGAGATATATGATAAGACTTGACAGTTTTTATCTGTGTCTAATTTCTGTCATTTAGTAACTGTGCTTTGTTATATTCAGTTGTTTGAAATGTCTTGAATTGTCATGAATCTTGTTGCAAATTATTTTTTGCCAGTGTAAACAAGGGACCAATGTTAGTAGCCTGTGTCAGGTAATCTTTCATAGGTGTCACGTGAATTTCTTTTTACAGCTTTGCCAACTCATGTGAATTCTAGCTAATGGCTTCACAGTGCTTAGAGAAGTACTGTGCAAGAGAAAAACCCAGAGTGACTAGATTGGTGAGTAGGCATGAATATGATGTAGGTAGGAACTAGACATCTTAGGTGCAGGAGACAACACAGAAAGTTCACAAAGTGGCAGGTGCTTGATGTCTGAGGGGCCTAAATGCCAGTAGATGCCTTCTCTTAAGCCATATTACACTTTTTGGGGCTTAAACATAGACACATGTGGAGATGTGTTTTAATGTGGGGAGCTAGATGATTTGCCTTCCATCTTTATTTGATTAATACATATATTAGGTAAAACGCTTACATTTTGCATGTGGTCCCAAGTGGCCTACTTGCCCAGAATTAAGCACTTTCTTGACTTTGCCAAATCCTTCACAAGATACAGTATACCAGTATACCATTTGACGACCCAGGGGAGGTACTTTTGCTGAACAACCTAGTGGTTTAATTTTATTGCGATGTGAAGTCTGATATACAAGTCTTCAGGTTGCAAGCTCATATATAGCCCATCAAGAGCTGAATCTACTGAGGCAATGAAGTTCAACAAGAAAAGCTTCTACAAGTACATCAGTAGCAAAAGAAAAAACAGAGAAAATATGGGCCTGCCACTGAATGTGACAAGGGATGGGGTAATAAAGGCCATGCAGAAGTACTCAATGCCTTCTTCACCTTGGTCTTTACTGGTAAGACTGGCCTTTAGGAATCCCAAGTCCCTGCAACCAGTGGAAATGTCCAGAGCAAAGAAGACTTACCCTTGGTGGAGAAGGATCAGGTTAGGGAACATTTAAACAACATGGACATATACAAGTCCATGGGACCTAATGGAATACACCCATAAAGCTGAGGAGCTAGCCAATATCACTGTGAGGCCACTCTCAATTATCTTTGAAAGGTCACTAGCAACCAGTAGAGGTTCCTGAAGACTGGAAGAAAGTAAATGTCACTCCTATCTTCAAGAACGGCAAGTAGGATCTGGGGAAGTACAGGCAGGTCAGCCTTGCTTCAGTCCCTGGAAGGTGATGCAGCAAATAATTCTGGAAACTATTTTTAAACACACGAGGGACAAGAAGGTGATTGGGAGTAGTATGCATGGTTTTATGAAAGATGAATTATACTTAATCAATCTGATAGCCTTCTATGATGAGATGAGTAGCTTGGTGAATGAGAGGGGAGCAGTGAATGTTGTTTATCTTGACTTTAGCAAGGCTTTCAGTCTTTCATAAGGTCTTCATAGAAAACCTGGTGAAGTATAATCTAGATAAGTGGACAGTGAGGTGAAATGAAAACTGGTAGAACCATCAGGTTCAAAGGGTCATTGTTAGTGCCATAAAGTCCATCTGGAGGCCAGTCACTAGTGAAGTACCCTCAGGGGTCAGCAATGGGTCCAGCACTCTTTAACATCTTAATTAATTACCTGGATGATGGAGTAGAGTGCACCTTCAGTGGGTTTATGAATGATACAAAATTGGGAGGAGTGGTTGATACACCAAGTAGTTGTGCTGCCATTTAGAGGGATGATGGGCTGGACAGCCTGGAGAAGTGGCAGACAGGAACCTTATGAAATACGACAAAGGAAAGTGAGAAGTTCTGCATCTGTGGAGGAATAACCTCATGAACCACTACAACCTGGGAGCTGACTGGCTCAAAAGCAGCTTTGCAGAGAAGGACTTGCAGTCCTGATGGACAGCAAGCTGAACTTGGCAGTGATGTTCCCTTGCAGTAAAGAAAGTCAATGACACTCTGGGCTATGTTAGGAGCAACATTGTCAGAAGATCGAGGGAGATGATTTTTCTTTACTCAGTACTGATGAGGCCACATCTGGAGTACTGTGTCCAGTTCTGGGCTCTGCAGTACACGAAAGACATGAACACACTGCCACTCATCCAGAGAAGGGCCACTAAGATGATTAAGGGTTTGAAGCATCTGTCATACAAGCAGAAGGGAAGGAGAGATGAAGGCTTATGGGGGAATCTTATAAATAGGTATAAATATCTGATGAAGGAGTATAAAGTCGGGCCAGGGTTTTCTTAATGGTGCACAGTGACTGGACAAGAGTGAATGGACGCAGACTGAAAGGAGCCCAGTGATAGGACAGGAGGCAATGGGCAC